CTTACTTGCAGGAGTATTGGAAAGTGAGCCAAAGTGATGAAATTCAACTCAAGAATGAGTGATTTTGAACAAGGACAAAAATCAAGCAAAAAGAGCTAAAGTGCGGACCGTAGAATTCTGTTAGTGGCCGCAGAACAAGAAGAAAATTTGACAGTGCTACAATGCAAAGTGCGGACCGAACAATAATTGTGCGGCCGCTGAAGTCAAGGTTCAGAGAGTGGGAATTCAAGACGATCAAGATCTGTGGACCGCACTATAATTGTGCGGCCGCAGAAATCAAATGTGCCACCTCACCTAGAATTGTATGGTCCGCAGAACTCAAGATATGCGGCCGCACCCAGAATTGTGCGGTCCGCAGAACTCAAGAAGTGCGGACGCAGTTCAGAACTCTGCAGCCGTAGAAACCACTCCTATCAAGATCTGGAGCAAAGTGGGGACCGCATACAGAATTGTGCGGCCGCATAACCTCCGAAAGGGCAACTTTGTCCGTAAATTTCAGTTGTGTATAAATAGTCCTTTTTGACGAAATTAGATTAAGTTTTTGAATATCTGAAAGTTGGTAGCCATTTTGCTTTACTGTTTTAGGAAAATGTATCATAGCTTGTCAATTTTACATTGGATTTTCATCTATTTATCATTAAATATGACTTTAATCATCTTTTCTTCTTTATTTTCTTCATCACCCGCTATGAGTAGCTAAATTGCTAGTTAAGGTTGTGACCCAACCCTAGTGTAGGTACCTATGTTTGAATTAGGGTTTGTTCATTGTTGGGTGTGTAATATTTAGTCTAGTTCTTGCTATAAAATTAATGGTTGCAAACATTGATTCAACCATATTTGACTTAGTCTCTACTTGAGAAAGAGAGACCTAGTCTAGAAAAACTTGGCTAACAAGAAATTGGGATGAACTCAAGAAATTGATAGTCACAATTAAAGGGTTGAATCTAGAGATAGTAAAACCCGACTTGAGCATCTATCAATTATTTTGTGCATTACCCATTTGGACTTGAGAGAGAGCCAAATTGGGCAAAACCACTATAGTACCTAGAGGTATTGAGTGGGTAATTGTGTGTTGATTGCTATAATACACCCCGACTAACGAAACCCGCTCTAAAGCCTACAACCCGTTAGCAAAACACCTAGGTGGAAGTCATAGCCCTAGATCTTTTACTTGAAAAACAACACCAAAAATATTATTCTCTAGCTTTACATTTCCAAACCATAGTATAATTTAGAAGTAGAATAAAAAAAATAGTTTGTGGAAATACATCTTAGACACTTTACGCGCTTAGCCCGAATATATACCTAATCACATCTACGCTCCTTGTGGATTCGATCCCGACTCCCTATTGGGTAATTATTATTGCAATCGACCGCTTCACAACCCCAAACTAAGGTGTGAATTGGGCTAGATCACGCACTTAAATTAACAAGTAGAGTGCAAACAATACAGGTACTTCATGATTTTGGGTCCTAAAACTACCTGGACATAAGCATAATTGGTAGCTACGCATGGACTCTCTTCACCTTGTCCATGTGCATCCCCCCACAATTTGAAGCAAATAATAATTTAAAATACATATGGGGTAAATTTCCTCTTACAAGGATATGCAAAAAACTTACCTCGTCTCAAAGCTCACTTTCCGACTCCACAAATTCACTCTAAGGCCTCCACTTGGTGCCGAACAATCCGAAGCTAGCCAAATATTATATAAATTAATCAATATAGACTAAAAAGTTAATAATTTAGCTATTAGAGTAATTACCCAACCCTAAATGGAAGATTCCTAAAATTCACCCCCAAGCCCACGTGCTTGGATTCCGAAAATTTTCGAAGATAAATGTTTTCCATAACCTCATGAACCCAAATATATAATTTTCATCCAATTCCATAATCATTTTCGTGGTTAAATCTCATTTTTATCAAAACCTAGGTTTTTCAACTAAACCCACAATTTCCATAATTTTACATGTTAAAATCTACCCACAATCTATGTATTTAACTTACATTGGGTAGGAATTACTTACCTTCAATAGCTAGGTGAAAACCCCTCTTCAAAGAGCTCAAAAATTGCCCAAGAGATTAAAGAAATGAGCCAAGATAGCCTAAGTCCCGACATTCAATGAACCTCACTGCTTTCAGTGGTTTCGCACTTGCGATCACACTGTCGCGCCTGTGGCTCTGCTTCTGCGGATAAATCCTCACAGGTGCGGACGATGCCCAGGTCTTCCACACTCGCTTCTGCGGCGAATCTGCCGCACCTGCAATTCCCTTCCGCTTCTGTGATCAACCTCCTCGCACATGTGCGTTCGCATGTGCGGTTCCTTCTCCGTTTATGCGACCACTTGCCAACCCACGCCAGGTCGCTTCTGTTGTCATTAGCTCGCTTCTGCGAGCGCACATGCGACAGGTTCTTCACAGATGCGATTGCACTAGAACCCTGCTGCTTCAGCAATTCTTTCAAGCCCAAACTTGTTCTGCGCATCGTCCGAATAGTACCTGAAGCCCCCGGGGCATCGCCCAAACATACCAACAAGTTCGTAAACATAAAACGGATTCGCTTGAACCCCCGGAACGCATAAAACAACATCAAAATTAAGAATCACCCTCCAAACCAAATCGAATCAACGTAAGAACTTCATGTTCTTCCAACTTACTCTGAACACGACGAACCATACTTAGACTACTCTGAATGATATCAAATTTTGCGTGCAGGTCACAAATCACCATACGAAACTGTTCCAAGGCTTGAAATCCCAACCAGACCTCGATAACAACAAATCCTACCTCAAACCAAATTTAAAGAATTTGAAAACCTTCAATGCACTAACTTTCAATATAAGCGATGAAACGCTCTCGGATCATCCGAAACCCGATCCGAACATACGCCCAAGTCCAAAATCATCATACGAACCTATTGGGACCGTCAAATCTCATTTCCGAGGTCGTTTACTAAAAATGTTGACCTAAGTCAAACTTAACCATTTTAAGCCAATATTGTTCCGATTTCAACCCGAACTAATCATTCCCGCAAGTCATAAACAATTAAAGCACATACGGAGAGTCTTGTTTAGGGGAACGAGGATCTAGAAAGCAAATCGATCGGTCGGGTCGTTACACTATTAATTTATAAAAATTGCACTCTTTAATTATAAGTAAATACGAAGTATAAGTTAAATCATTTACGTTAAGCCTATCATAAGAATAAGAATTAGTAAGATATAATCAATCATCTAAACTGATGTCTGAGGGGAAAAGAGAATCATTATCATCATCATTTAGTTGTCTTCTTTCTTAGCAACTAGTCGTCCAAACTTGTGAGTGGAAAAAAAAAAAAAAAAA